TCCAGTGTTACTACAGGAGGAAACCTAAACTGAACTAACTTTATTTATACTGGATAGCTCTATCAGTTCTAAACTGTTCTTCCTAGAGGTCCAGTAAGGATCATCTCTTATTGATCCAGTGTTACTACAGGAGTAACTAGAGAAGGTTTATGCTGTTTGGTATTGTGAAACCACAAGCACTCTTCTCGCACGAGGTAAAATTATAATGAGACAGCTCTATACTATAGTAATCCGCAAACTATATACCTGAACTAAATCACAGTGATAAATATGACCGGTGTGGGGCATGATTGCTGCACTTGAGAAGCCAGTCAGGGTTTTTCTCTGTGATCCTAACAACAGCACATTACAGGCTGGCATTTTGGACAATCCTGTTAAACCCCCGGCACTCCCCATCAGCTTGGCAGCAGCAGTCGCCCCTACAATCCAGGATGTGTTTGGTGCAATAAATGACATACGCGACTCAACATATTTAAAAATCTTTGCTTTAGCTTCGACGAGATCTAACGCCATTTGACAAGCTTCCATAACTCGCTCGAGTTCATCGTTTTCCAAACGTTCCCCTTGCGTTGTTGACGCTGTTACACTAACGACCATCTTTGTCGCAGGAGGTAAGATCTCTGTTAGGTCAACGTTAGCAACCTCAAGGTCGTTATCGAGTAATTGAATGGTCTTAATGTAATCTAACGCGCTAGGAACGAGCGATTCCAACTCGGGAAATCGTTTCGCATACTGATCTCTGGTGTATTTATGTATAATACTAATCTCGTTATCAATTTCTACAGTGAGATTATTAGCTTCAACAATAAGCTGATACTCCGGGTCTGTTTCACTTGGTCCAAACATTTGTCCTCTGGGTGTCTGAGAGAATTCCTGGATCTTTTCAAGGACATCACTTAGCTGTTTGCCATCTCTTAGCTTAGCGATGTGCTTAACGGATTTCGTGTCGAAACTATCGCTAGTTTCCATTGCTTCTTCGATGTTGTCATTGTCGATAAGGTCGACATTGCCTTCGTCTCCAATCTCTTCCAGATCTGCTAGTAATTCATCCGCTAAAGACATGATATATTCTGCTTATTTCTTAATAAAAAACACTTAATACTCCAACAAATGCTATTCCGTTTGCTTTATTTATTACCCAGCACACTGTTTCATAGGAAAATAGCGAGGTTTTAAGCAGATAAAAGCTGTTAAAATAAATATTTCTAAAAACTTTTGACAAGAACAGAATTTTGAATCGAACGTGCTTGCAACGTTCGTTACACGCATGCGTACAAACATGAATTTTAAACAAGGGGTGGGGGGGGGGGAGGTTGGGAATTTGGAGGGGGAGGGGGACTGTGGTAGTAGTTCCTCTTTTATATATTAAAATAAACAGGGTCGGGAAACGGGACCACTCGGGACTCCGCGAAATAAATACGAAAATTCCCAAAAAATTGGCAGGAGAAATTGCACCAATTGGGAATAAAATTCCAAAGCTTTTATTTTATTTTGGTATGAAAATAAAATAGGTGCAGTTATACACCCATAAAAGGGATTTTGCCAAAAATATTAGCGCCTGCAAATTATATATAAACAAATAAAAATTATAAACAATTATTCAATTTATTTTATTGAACCTAATATAATATATAAACTTTAATGCCCAATAAAGTGTTGCAACATGACGTATTGAGGAATGTATACGTGGACCGCTGTTAATGCGTGTGTATCGCGGTTGCACAACTTTTGGAACGACGCGCGAACGTCAAAAAACTTGTCAAAGAGTGAGAAAATTGTGTTTAAAATCCTTCAAAATCTTTGCAATCAACCATGGCTTCAGTGTAAGTAACATGAAATACTAAAATTCAATCTTCGTTGTAATGGAACAACGTGTTATTTTGGGTTTTCATGGTAATTTGGTAGGGAATTTTGTTCTCCAAAATGGAGGGTCTGGATTTTGCACATTTGCGCAGTGCTGCACTTGTTGTTTGGGATTTCTGGTTTTTTGGCATCTTATTGACGGATCATTGTAAAAAGCGGCAGCAGAGGGCAAAGTTCTTATCATTATATATTATTCTCACAGTGGTATAAATCTGCAGCAACATTTTATATTGTTCAAGATTAAATATCTTAGAACTGCATTTTTATATCAAGACTGGTTTATGAAAGTTTCTGTGATCAAAGTGATAAACCAGTAGAAGTACATGAAGTGAATGTATAGGAATGGTTGACAAATAAACTTGTATACTGCTTTGATGCTCACTGCCAGGCCAGCCACCCTACTGACAGATTATTTAATGCTAGCTTGTACAGAAAAGTCGGTTTTCATTCGAAGTTATTTAAAAATCAGAGATTCTGAGACCCTGTTTACACAGTACCGGACAAATTTGGAACCGGGCTGAAATGCATCCTTTTTTGTGGAATCTGACAAATTTGAGAACCCCTAACAGGACGAATTTGTGTGTAAACAGGCGAAAAAGGATGAATTTCAGTCTGGTCCCAAATTCGTCCAGTACTTTGTAAACGGGAGCTGAGATAACCCCTTTTGCTCCTTTGCAATGTTTTTTTGAAAACCTATGTTGTCCTTGGCAAAAAACTGTTCAAAGTCAGTAATACTGTGGTAATATTGAAATGTTTTTTTACTCTGAATCATGGTGCAAATAATTTGTTTATTACGTACATTCTTTCAATTCCAGAGCTTCAAAGCCCAGGTCAGACATGACACCAGAAGAGCTTGCTCAACGAGAACAGGAGGAATTCGCAACCGGTCCCTTATCCATACTCACCCAATCTGTCAAAGATAATGCCCAAATCTTGATCAATTGCCGAAACAACCGGAAACTACTCGCCCGTGTGAAAGCGTTCGACCGACATTGTAACATGGTGTTGGAGAATGTGAAGGAGGTTTGGACGGAAACACCGAAAGCTGGCAAGGGCAAGAAGAAGGGGAAACCTGTAAACAAGGACAGATATATCGCAAAGATGTTTTTGCGTGGAGATTCTGTTATTCTTGTTTTAAGAAACCCCAGAGCCGGTACAGGAAAGTAAGGAGACATTTAGCAGGATAATGATGGCCACAAACATTTTAGACAATGTTGCATTCCTGTATTTAGTAAGCCAAGTTGAAGAATGCTTCTTTAATTAATGGCTTAAAGATCCAGGCAACCTAGCTCTTTAGAGCTAGTTTAAACGATGGAAGATTTATCGTGCTTTTACAGTGCATCTACTGTAAGTGGGGCCACTTAGAGAACACTAACCAATCGCATTGCAGAACAGAAAGAAAAATCTAATCAAACTAAAGCTCGTCCAATCAAAAGAAAGATTCAGGAAGCCATTAACTGCAGTGTTTACTTTTACAAGTCTATTTTTACCGTTTGACATTCGTTTATTTGTTCAAATTGTTTTTGTCCTAATGCTGATTGGCTAATGCGCGTTTGTTGATTTTTTCAATTTCTGTTCTTCAATGTGATTGGTTAGTGTTCTGTAAGTGGCCCCACTTACTGTAGACGCACTGTAAAATGTCACTTTGGCTATGCAGCCATGTTTACATGTAAGCAGTGGTGTGGCCAGCCCGACAATTTAGTCCCGCTATGCAAATTCAAAATTATTATCATTCATTTCTTTAGAAATTGATTGTTTTCACAGTCAATGAACACAAAAATTTTTGCACAGCGGGACTAAATCGTCGGCTGGCTACGCTACTGCATGTATGTGACATATTTGGTCCGGTCCAAACAAGATAAGCGGGCTTTTAAGTCTCCCAGAATGAGACCATTTTCATTATTATTGTTAATTAATATACTATTTGTAAAGCTTTGTAAATGTTTGTTGCATCTTCATATTAAACATTTTCCATATGCATTGTTTCATTTCACAGTGTATTATCAAGTATATACTTGGGTAACACTGTTACAAGTGTTACACTATCTTTATGTAGGGGTGGGGTTAGGGTTAGTGTGTGTAAAACTATGTAACACTATGTAACACTGTCAACACTTTGTAGCACTGTGGAACACTATCTAACACTGTGCAACACGATGTAAGAATATGTAACACTTGTAACAGTGTTACAACTGATTGCCATAATAAAGCCACTCTAAATCATGCATGGTATAGTCATAGAAATTAGATATCTATCTATTATTTCTATGGGTATAGTCTAGATTTGAAAAATATTGTGATCTAACACTTTCCCCTGTTATATATCTTGAAAGGTCTGTACCAGTATAGGTTGTGGCAATAATTAAGAAAGCTTTGGATTGATAGGGATACAACCTCCTGAAAAATACAAGGAGAACTTTGATGTTTCAAAGTGAAGGGAAGTTAGTAGTTGTATCCCTAACTTTCACCTGTAATTTAAATGATCTGGAATTAGACAGAGCAGCATTACAAACTAGAGTGAATTTTTGCAGTTTAACAATAGACCCTTTATAAAATTGCAATGCACCTGGATGTTGCCCCACTTCAAAATTTTACTCTGTCTTACACCAAATGATTTTACTTGTCAAGGAGAGTGCTGCCACTCAATGGGTTAATCAAACTATCTGCTCATGCACCCTGTTAAACCTAAGCTGCGATGTGCCCTACTTTATTATTTTACTCTGTCTAATGCCAGATGATTTTACTTGTCAAGGTGAGAGTACTGCCACACAATAGGTTGTCAACATGGGTAAAAATGTCTAAATTAGACCATTTTTAAAATTGTCAGTAAAATAAAATGCATTGGTTGCATTAGGGCCCATAGCCTAATGGATAACATAAGACATCCCTCTGCAAGTAAAATAATCTTGCATTCGACATAGTAGACTCGGCCCAAAATGCACTACAGATATTTGCTATTTAGAAAGAGCAGAACAACAAATGATAAGATCCTCTGGCATCAGACAGAGTGTAAATACGACCTAGGGCGCATCGGACCGCATTGCATTTTAATATTTAACAGTTTTAGACAAATCTGCGGCACGCCTTTGAAGTCACTACCCCCTCCCCCCTCGCGCAATGCTGACTCTTCCACTGATCTCTATTCGAAACTGAAGCGACGAGGCAGCTTGCAATGCATGCTGGGATCGGCAGCTAAAGTTGTCGTGACTTTGGGATTTGAGAAATCAACATTTCAGAAATCAACATTTTGCGAACGAACAAAAAGTGATTATTGAATTTGGAACAGTTGTTTTTTGGTCCAAAGTTTCGATGTTGTGAGGATTAAGGCATGGTCGGTTTTAGTGGCACATTAAAATTGGAAATATCTGAGGCCAGCGATCTAAAACCGACGAGTCTGCATCATCATGGGGTGAAATTGACGAATATCGATCCTTATGTATCAATTTATGTCGACGAAATATTCCTGGCGCAAACGCAAGCGAAGGGCAAGACTTCTACACCTCGCTGGGAGGAAGCGTTCGAGAAATTTATAGACTATGGCGAGATTTTAGGTTTAACAGTGTTTCATAAAGCTATCCTACCGCCCGATCCGTTCGTCGCAAATGTTACAGTGCCGTTCGAGCAACTCATGAACGAAACACAGACGGATTACTTATGGGTGAGCGAAATATATTGATTTGCGGTTCGATAGAAAGTACAAGCGTTTAAACGTTCACCACATAAATATTATTCCCACTAGATAAAGCTCGAGCCCTCTGGACAAGTGAGAATTAAAATAGAACTCAAGGAATCGAAGAGCACAGGTATTTTACGCTATTGTTTTGAACTGGCCAAGTGTAATTAGTGCAGCGAACTATTCAAGCCTCGTTACCCTTCTTTTGAAGCAGTAAATTTTCCCTGAATTTTACAGCATAGCCAAATAAAATTGTCATAACAGCGTAGATCTATATTTGATTTATTCATTTTCCCTCAGTGTGTTTTTGACATACTTTGTTTCCTGGTTTAATAGTTTATTAGAGGATGAACACACAAAGTTACACAACATGCTCTCTTCCGCATAATAAAGCGAGTTTTATGTTGGAAATTTTAGACAAAAGACCCAAATTTAAGATGAAGGAAGGCGCTCTAAAAGCTCGTGGTCGGAGAGGGGCTATGAGGCGAAGGGTGCATCAAATAAATGGGCATAAATTTATGGCAACGTTTCTGTATCAACCCACATTTTGCGCCCACTGCAATGAATTTATTTGGTAAGTAAAAAAAAGAGGAAAATTCCTTAGGGCTCCTTAGTTTCCTAAACAGAGACCGTAAAAAACGTGCAAAATTGTAGGTTTTTATTGCGTAATACTTCCCCGCATCAGACCCTTGCTGTATTGAGTATAATTACTGCATTATTTACCCAATTCCGAAGACCTCGAACCTGCTGAAAATAGTCCACGATTCGAAGGGTTCTAATTTGAAATTAGAACATTTTGAATTCGTTCCAAATGCTTTTATCGCGTTCGAAAATGTCGTAATATGAACAATATGTAATATGTATTACGTAAAATTGCAAAGCTGAATGAATCAGACACAACAATCACGCAACATGCGTTCCCCCTCGTCGTTCAGACTTCAGACTATATACACATGCCCGAAACGAGATGCCCACGTAATGTGCATGTTTTTAATCCATGATATAAAACACGTTGCCCAAGACAAAAGAAAATTATGTCAGAATTTATGTAACCCTTCTTGCATTTTGCGTGGCCACAAAATTCAGCATTGTTAG